GCCTCCGAGCCCGAAAATTGGCTGCACTTTATTTGTTTTGCTGCAATTGCATCAGGCAATCAGAAGCCTGACTTGATTTTAGGTCTGATTTATGAGTTGGTGACTGTCAGCTCCAGGGATCCATCAATAAGTGGCCCAAAATACAACCTATTAGAGTGGCTCAGAACCCTTTGAAGGGTACAACCAGTCCATTACATCTTTTTAAAGGCTACACCCAAAAATACCTCTTAAAGGAAACTGGGTTTCACCTTGTACTATTTCGGTCAGATGCAAAAAAAATGCTTTCCCTGAGCAACCTGGGCAAATGTGAGCCTGAAACTAAAACCAGCAAACGACCAGAATATTTCTGCTCTGAGCATCTAAACCCAGGCTGGGGGAGGGAGAAGTTTCGTTTCACCTCAGCCGAGAGGAGGAAAGGGAAGCAAAACACAGCAGCCAGATATTTATAAAGAGACTTTACAAGCTCCAGCAGAGTTTAAAGAGAAGCAGGTTTTAAATAAATAAATAAAGATGCAAGGCAAGCTCGCTCCGAAGGGGAAAAGTGGAGGATAAAAAGCTGCTTAACACAGTGAAACAGATCCTTTGGAGCAGTCCCAGACAAGAAGAGAATAAACTTCCAGTCCATCACCTCCAAGTCCTCCTGGATCCCAAACACCTCACAGAAATCCTGGCTCCCACACAGAGGACACGGGGGATAAAGGGCAGGAGGATTCAATTTGGCATGACTAAGGAATTAATGTTAAAAGCACTCCCAGCTATTTCCAGGGAAGAGATGAGCCACCAGCAGGGCTCTGCTGGGATGGGGGATCCTGGGGACAGAGCTGATTCCCAGATTTGTGCATCACCCCAGCAAAGGTACCACTTTCCCCTCTCCTGTCCCCACCCCACCCTTCATCCAGTGGGAAAAACCCAAACCAGCCCCTTCAGCAACACCTGGATCAAGAGCCACGCTCACAAAAAAAAAAGAATATAAGTGAAAAAAAAGATATTCACAAAAAGAAACATTTTTTTCATAAAGCTGATCCTGCACAATGACCAAGAAGGGGAAAAAAAAGGCAGAGCTCAGTCATGACCTGGAATGGATCCCACGGGTGAAAACTTCCCAATTGTCACCCAAGAAGGTCCTTGGTTGAACACCCTTCAGGGGAACACTCTGTACCTTGAAACCACTCCCTGGTAGGAATCTTCTACAAATATTTAATTGCACATAAAACAAACAAACAAACAAAAGATTCGAGCTTTTTTTTTTTTCAGGCTGTTGAGCAATGACAGACTATTTCACCAAATACTCAGGCAGTTGTCCTGCCAGTGTCTGTGGGTATTTTTGGAGGAAGTGGGGAGAACACAGTGGTTAACTCAAGAGGAAAAAGCAGCAAAGCCAACCACCACCGTGCAGCTATTTATTTTTTTTTTAATTTTGTTTTTGAAAGCCAAGCCACGCATTAAAGTAGCTGCATCTAATCGCTGTTTATAGAGGGGCTGGCAGGCAAAAAGCAGCTGCTATAAACAGTCCCTTAAATCCCTTTTCCCAGCATCACGCTCGGAATATTCCCACAAAGGTACAGCAAACGCCAGGAGCGGAGCTGGAGGGGGAATGTTGGATTTGGGGAAGGAGGGAGAGGGATGAGGTGCAAAGGTTGTCACCCTCCACGTGCTGCCCGGCGTGGGCAAGGAGGCAGCTCCCGGTGTGACACTGCCCTCTCCTGAGCACAGGGCACTGCTCGGCTCCGGGATTTTGGGCAGGAACAGCCCCGAGCAAACACCCAAAGAGAGGGAGAAGCTGAGACACCACTCACCCCACAGCAGCTCCAGCACAGCTACAGCCTCCTCCTCGCACCCACAGCACTGCCCGGGCTTCAGCACGAGGGTGAACCACCCCTATTTAGGCTTAATTAGCAGCTGCCACTAATTACCGAAGCCTCTTTATGGCCACTACAAAGTGGCTGCCAGGTGGATCCCATCCCTTCATCACCGGGCTTGGAGCAACCCGGTCGAGTGGGAGATGTCCCTGCCCGTGGCAGGGGGTTGGAGCTGGCTGAGTTTGAAGGTCCTTTCAAACCCAAACCATCCTGTAAATCCGGGAATATCAGCACGAAGGTGCAAAGCCCCCCCTCATTCCAGGGCTGTGGGACAGGAGCCCGACCCCTGTGGCTGCAAAATCTCAAGGAAAAAGGAGTTTCAAAGCAGGGAAAGCACATTCCTACAGCCCGTATTTGTAGGAAAGCTGCTCTGAGGAGGAGCCCTACCGTGAGCAGCCCCCCCCGCTGTCGCTGTCAGGGATAACCACACCTTCCCAGGCTGGCACGAACCAGGAGGATTTCAAAGGTGCAGCCGTTCCCTTTCATCCTCACCCTCGGGAAGGCTCCCAAAGAGGGTTAAAGGCCAATATTGCCCCCAGGTGTGTCTGGTGAAAGGGCACCCAGCTCCAGCTTCCACCACCTGTGAGCATCAAAGGGCCTCCAACAAACAACAGGGTGAAGGAGCCACCTGGGACCCGACCTCAATCCCCCACCACGCTTTGCAACTGTGAGTTACTCCAACCCACACGTTAAAAAAACTAAAAAAAAAAACTGACAAACCCCTAAATATTTTGGCACCGAGCAGTTAGAAACACCCTGGCAATTTGAAGGCAGTTACTCCAGATCAAACACACGTGGACATGGAGTTCATGGAGGAAAGTACAACAAACAGTCCCCGGCCCTCGCAGCTGCTTCAGCGTCTCGTTGGAATCTTCCAGTTCATCAAAGCGATTTGTTGCCTTGCGAAAACCAAACCTGATGTCATTCACTCTGAGCCAGCAGTTTCTGAACCTACAACCAGACAGCCAACAGATTGATCCGCCCAGGGCTCATTTTCGTTGTGAACACACGAGCCAAACGTCGGCCGTGCCTCGCCACCGAGCGCAGGATCCATCCCGGGGAGGAGCAGAACATGCAGAACATGCTCATTTAATACAAGTACAGCGTGCCAGAGACACCCACTCTAAAATTAACTCTGCCATCAAAAGCACGGCTTTAAATTTGCCACTGAAGAAGCGCCTTCTAAATCCCAGGGAACTATTCTGCAGCCCCACACGCCGTCGGGAAGATGCTTCGAGGGGAAGAAGGTGTTAAGAAAGCAGGGTTGGAGGATTCAGGAGGCATCACTGCTCAGGTGGATAAAGGCTGTATAATGAATTAATGGACTGCTTTCCACAGCAATCTGATGGCTGGGGAACGCAGACCTGCCAGGCAAAATGCGAGGCAGGAAATCCATTTCCCTCAGCTTTTCCCCAGGAACCTGCCAAGCGCGAGCTGGCAATTCCTAAGGGGGAAAGGAGGGAGTCCTCCTGCGTCCCTGTGCGATCCAACCCCCAAAAAACCTCTTTAAGGAGCAGCACTGGGCTAAGTTTTGCTGGCTAATGAGCAGCAATGTAAATTTCCTGGCAGCTGGAGCATCCCGAGGAGGATCCAGCATTGGAACGGCGCGTTTGGATCGAACGTTCCCCGCACACGGAGTAACTTTTAATGGAGAAAAATCCACACGGGCTTCCTGAGCAGCACTCCTTTTCCTCCACAAAGAGCCAGCAAAGGGAACCAGAATTCCATTTTTGTCACAATTTCACACACAGCACAGTCAGGACTGTTCCTGTCAGCTCTCCATAATCCCTTCCCAGCCCCAAAATAACCCTTAAGCCAACACGATTACACGTAACAGTGGCTGGACAGACCCAGCCCTAAAACCCCAAAGCACGGGGAGTTCGCCACAGCCAGGTTTTTTCTGGCTGCAGAATCCTCATTTCCACCTCGCCAGGGGGGAAATTTCACAGCTTCCACCCCAGGAATTGCTCCACCAGACCTTTTCCAGAGGAAAATGTGGACTGCAAGTCCTCAGTGCCCAGTTTTCTGGGCGGTGACGCTTCAGGACGTGGGTGAGACCTTCAATAAAACACCAACGAGATGATTTTTTTCCCCCTTTTTTTTCCCCGAATTACTCCTTTTCCCAAGCAGTTTCTTTGCCAGGCATCAAGATAAAATACCACCCTCTACATTCACCCTCTGGCTGAAAAATTTGGGGTGTTTAACAGCAGCTTTGCTGCAGTGGGGGGGATGTCCCCAGGAGCCATCCAGGACATCCCTGAGCATCCTCACGGGGTGCTGGGAGACTGTGGGTGCTGGATGGACACTGGGTGCTCCTCCAGCTGGGCAAGCAACAATAAATCCCTCTTGGGATTTTGCTGCCTCAGGATTTTAGGGCTCTGGACAAGCCCTGGGACTGTGGGACACTGCAGATGCCAGGATTTTATATCAGAAGGAAGCATTCCCTGGCACACAAGTAGGGCCTGGAGGAGAAAAGCAGGGGAGCAGTTCCACACCCAGATAACTGGGGGGTCTCAGAGACCACAGGGGGCACCCGGGCACCTCTCACCAGGTGGGTGCCCACCCACAGCCCCCCATCACATCCCAACTTTGCTTGGGATGCTCCTGGCCAGGTGAGCCACCCATGGGGGGCAACACAGCAAAGAGGGGGGCACAGAGGGCCAAGAAACAGCTTTGGGGGAACAGGGGAAAAAAAACCCAAACAAACACCTTTTGGGGCAAAGAAACACCTTTGGGGAATGGAGAAAAAAAAAATCCACATTTTGGGGCAAAGAAACACCTTTGGGGAATGGGGGAAAAAAAATCCACATTTTGGGGCAAAGAAACACCTTTGGGGAATGGGGGAAAAAAAAATCCACATTTTGGGGCAAAGAAACACCTTTGGGGAATGGGGG